TTTAACTCCAGGAAATCAGCATGTTGTTTTAGAAAGTCAAGTAAGTTCAAATGTACTAACATATTTTTAAAACCCTCTTTAGAAGTAGATTGCATCCACTAGGCAGGCTGCTTCTTATATTTAATGGTTAAAAGCTTCAGCTCAGTGTTTAGTGTATTGTGCCACTTTTCTTGGAAACAGATGACTTCACTTTAAACACTAGACTGGAATCAACAGGGAGCAGGAAACCACCCTGCCAAATTGTTCTTAAGCACCATCCATCCATCTTCTTCCGCTTATCTAATTCAGGATTGTGGCTGAGCTAGGGCCTGTCCCAGCTGTCATAGGGCAAGAGGTGGGGTACAGCTCGGACAGATCACCAGTCTATCACAGGGTTAACACAGAGAGACAGTCAACTATTGAGGCTCTCATTCACACCTACAGCCTATTTAAAATCACTAATTAACTTAACATGGATGTCTTTGGACTCTGGGAGGAAGACAGAGTAAGTTTTCTATTCATGTATATATGCGATTAGTTTCAGATGGCTCAATATAAATAAAAGAAATTTTCTGAAACATTTAGCTTTATCTGTCCTTTATCATTGGGTTCAAATGTGGAAAAACCCCACAAAAGCTGTGAATATTTTTCCTTTGCGGAGCAGTCACACATCACATTTTATTGCTCTGCACTTAGTGGCAGTTACAGCACTGTGCAAAACTCTCAGGCCACCCCTCATTTCTCTATATTTAGCTTCCCCGGACTCAAATACTCTTGTATTTTTTCTAACTTTTGTACAGTACTGTAAGTCCATAAGTATTTTGAGAATGACACGCACTCTGTATACTGTCACATTGTTTTTAAAATGAGAACTTAAGATGTGTCTGAAACACAGACTTGTAGCTTTAATTTAACAGGTTTTAACAAAACTGTTGCATTAACTGTTTAGGTATTACAGCCATTGCTATGCAGACATCTACACTTAATCAGTCACTGATAACAAAGAAGTTTCATCCAAGTGTTAAAATCACTCCATATATTTAAAATCATATTGGTCTGTCCTGTTACTTTTAAGCCTCTGAAAACTGGAGACAAACACTAATACCAAACACTCTGGTGCCCTCTAGTGGTGGCAACACCATGATGCATCAAATCAGACTAAGAAAAAGGAATCCAAATAAGTTACACAAACTCAAACTTTTTTCTGTAGGTCAACTCGTCTATTTAATATATAAAATACGGTAAAACATACGCAAAAAGGGGAGGGTAAGAGGGGACCAATGGATACTTTGGTACAATAACAAACACTTTTTTTTGTAAAAGCAGTATAGAATTTGTAATAACATATCAGTGCATACTTTATTTATGAAAATATACACAAATTGTATATCATTCTCCAAAAACAAAAACAAAATTATCTTTACAACAAAAAAGCAGACTAGCCGAACACAATATATTAGCTATAATTTATTTAAACTTTTTTTTCTTTAATTTCACTTTTTTTTTTTTATGTAATCCTGTGTGATGTGTTTTTGTGTCAATATTACATTTTATTTCCTATAACATGATTCACACTTCTGTTGTTTTGAAACGCCCATGCATTGACATAATTGTGTCTGGTCAGAAATAAGTTAGACGTGTCACGCTGCCCCACCCCCTTTAGACTCAGAGGTTTGTACATTGGACTCAAAGTTTTGCAGCATTGAAGCGATTTGTCGACTCAATCAGCGATTCCATCCACAGCCACACGTGGAAACTAATATCACTACTCGTGTGTTGCTTGTTACGTGTCATAAAAATCGTGCAACATTAGTAACACCCTTGTTGAAGAAGAAAGAAAAATCCCAAAAAATGAAAACAAAAATATATTTATAGAATATTCTTATATAATAAAATAAAATTCCAAAGAAAACAAGAGGTCTAACCTACACAAAAAAACAAAAAAACAAAAACAACAACAAAAAAAAAAGAAAAAGAAAATGCAGAAACCTATATCATCATGACAGCTACTATCAGTGTGGCTGTGGTAATGATGATAAGAATAATAATAACAATAATATCAATTGTCAGAGAACAATTAAAAACAGACTGTCACCAGCACAAATTAACACTGGAAAGTGAGTGAGACTTCTAAACATCATTGTACAGGAGCATATATCTCTCTTTCAGGGGGGGATGCAAGTTCTTAGAACGGCTTCTCAGCACGATTGTCTGTTGTGTGATTACAGCGACCCCTAGTGTTGTTCTAAAGAACATGTTAGGGCTTCACGAGGGCTCTCACCTGCCTGCTCACAAACAATCTCATTTCTTGGACGAAACATAACAACTTGCAGACTTTTTTTGTTTCTCTTTTTTTTTTTTGTTCGAAGCTCAGGGCACAACAGTCTTAACTGTCAAAGTGTTTACACTCTGGGGATTTATGTTAACTCTGCCAAGCACTCAGAAAAGCAATATTGACACTCAGACTTGTCACAGAGGATGAATGTGTGTGTGTGTGTGTGTGTGTGTGTGGGGGGGGGGGGGGGGGGGGGGGGTGGTGAGTGAGTGAGTGAGTGAGTGACAGACGGAGAAAAAGGAAATGAGAAATCACTGATGAACTGAAGGGCGGATGATGGCAGTAGTGTGTGGGATGAAGCTGCAAGTCGAATAGAGTTGGGAGGGGGGTTGGTGGTGGTTGTGTTTCTCATGGAAATGACCCCAAAATAATTTGACTTGTCATTTCAGCGCTGACACCCGCTATCTGGACGGAGTAAACAGAAGAGGAGTGTGTAATGAAATGTGTGCGTGTGTTTGTTTGTCTGGGTGTAAGATTAAGCTTCCAGAGAGGAGGGGAAAAAAAAAAAAAAACCAAGTGAGTGACAGGGGTGAGAGAGAGGTGACGAGGGCCTGCCCATGAGAAGGATGTGGTGGCTGGATGCGGTAAAACCTAAAGTCGACAAGTCTGCGTTGGATTTGGGAGGTAGTCATTAAAAGATCAAGAGTCATTCTGAAACCTCCGGCTTAGCGACGAACGACACCCAAACGCCAGTGCTTTTAACAAGCAAATGGACGGAGGCTGAGAGTGCTTTTAGGAAAAATAAATACATGAATTTGCACTTTTGACCACCACGTTTAAAAAGAAAAAGAAAAACCTAAATCAACCGTTGCCACCTTTATAGAGTAGAAAAATTACATCCTTCACTTCTCTTTTCCTTCATAGTCTTCTTAAACTCTCCATAATATAAAACTGCAGCCAACCAGTGACAGGCGAAGGAGAGATCCTTTAAATATAGAAACATGGCTTTTAATTGGAGGAAAAGGTAAACCTCTAAAAGGAGAAGAAGAAAAAAAAAAAGAGGGATCAGGGAAATCCTTGGCTTGCTTAATCATAAACTATGTATTTATTCTAGAGTTTGACTGATATGGTGGTAGCGGATAATAATCTTTTGCATCAAGTTGCACAAAATACCCAATATTTGGCAGTCGCTGCACGAGGAAAAATTCCAGTAAAGTTTAATTTAGCTAAATGATACAATAGGAATGGCATTTTTTTTGTTTTTTGTTTTTACTAATCTTTAGTTTTTAGCAGGTTTCAAATAAATGCTTCCATAAAAGATTCATTTGAAAGATGAAACTACATCAGCAATGACTTTGAAAGATTTACAATTAGTAACTGAATTTGACGTAGACAGTGCTACACAGCTATAAGAAAATTTCTGTTCCAATTTTTATACAACATAAAAAAAAAAAATGTAAACAACTCCTTAAATTGGACTTATGATCCTTTTCCTTGCTTTCTATCCAACGTATGCAGCTCACACTAAACATATCCAATCCTTTCAGCCCTAAATGTTCGATTTTTGTTTTCTACTCTTGGTTCTTTACAAAGCCAGTTGCAGCAGTCATTTGAGACACAAAGCACTGGCCATGGCCACCTACCTGCTATTCCAAGTCTTTTTCTTGTGAGGGGCAGGCAAATAGAAAAGAAAAAGTAGTTGGCTTAAAGGGAGAGGGGAGGCTGCTTTCACAGAGTTGATAAACTGAGGGTCTGCAAAAAAGATATACAAGGATTTATTTGAACTGTGAGTCATGCAAAGCTACCCTGATAAACTTTAAGTTTGAAAATCTGGAGCTGGAAATGGGAATAAGAAGTCTCATTTAAAAAACTGCTTCAATCTATTAACTTAATATATTGACTCTTGCAATTATTGAATTATTAATTTAATTAATTAAATTGCTCCAATTAGGCAACCACACTGAGACCCTTACTGTAGCTTGTAAATTACTTAAATTAAACTACATCAAAAGAGAATTTTGAGAAATAAATAAAAATTGCAATATGTTACATGTACCTGCCATTTTTAGGTTGTTATCCAGCCAAATACATCAGTCTAACTCTAGTGTGTGCGTGCTGTGCGTGCGTGTCAGAGGTGGGAGTTAAGGTAAAGTGCCCTCCATCAGCAACAGAGTCCTAATCATTGCTCACTCTAAACAGTCCGAGTCACCACGGCTACGTCTTCCCTTCCTGCCTCTACAACACCCTCTCTGGGCTCGTCCACATATTACACTTTATATACACACATAAATAATAATAATATAAAAGAGACAGATCCACTGAGAATCAATGTTTGTTTGTTTTTGTTTTTTTCCACTTCCTTAAGGGATATCCTGCCGAATATATAGTTTATATATACAATCCCTGTCGTCTGGTCTAGTCTCTTGCCCCAAATGCAGAGCTGCCCTTGCTACCGCCTGAAGCTGTTTAAATATATACTTGAATATGATTTTTTTTTAACCTTCTAAAGAAAAAAAAACCTTATCCCTGTCACACAAAAGCCACAAAGGTTACAGATTGCTTATATACATGGTACCTCACGATTCTCCTCTTTGAACATCAGCTATCTATTCAAAACATGAATTGCTCACAAAAATAATTTCACCTGTGTGCGTTGCAGGTGTGTGTTCAAGGATGAAATTGAAAGTGAAGATTTATCCAAATTCACTTGGTTTAAAAAAAAAAAAAAAAAAAAAAAAGCAAAAAAGCAAAAAAGAAAACAACCAGTTGAGGTAACAAACCCGTATACACACACACGCACACAAACAAACCAAACACACACCTTTCTCAGCATCTGTAGTTGACACGATGTGGGCGAAACGAGGAGAATCTGCGTCATGTGTCGTTGAGCTGTGGCAGCTCGTCCCTGATTCAAAGAAAAGCAGTCTTTTACCTCGGCAACAAATCACGTTCCTCGTTTTACAGCTGGTCTGCGTGGTTCTGATTAAATAAAGACCCCTGGTGGTCGCCATTCTTGTACAGGACCCAATGCCGGCCATGTTGATGGAGCCGCCGACTTGACTGAGAAGGGAGGCAAGTTATTCTTTTAGTGTCTTCATATTCAAAATGAATCCAAACTCTAAATGTCAACAGTCAAGACAGAGGGACAAAACTCCACGCTTTAAAAAAAAGAAAAGGAAGAAGAAGAAGAAAAATAAAATAAAATAAAAGAGCACAGTTGCTCCTCTTAGAAAACAAACAAAAATCTAGAGTGATAGCAATACAACTGTGGATGGGCGGATGTGTACATCGATGTGGACTCGTTGGCGGCACCGTTTTAATACAGCGCTGTCATATTTGATCAAAACCTACCAGACAGTAAAGATATGAAGGTGAGAGATTGCCACCAGCCGTGAATCATGGCATGGGCATGCTGGGAAACCAAGTTTGGCTTGTCTGCTTTTCCAGAAACTGTCAAGAAGTCCATGTGGCCAAATTTAATCAGGCCACAGTTCCTAACCACTGCAGCCTGATTACAAACTCATTCACTTCTATCCGAATCCAGCTGAATGATGCGCAGCATGGTCTTTTTTTTTGATAAATAATTCCTGGTCTTGTTGGGTTTGGTGTATGTCAGTGAGAATACATTACAGTTCAAACGTGACTGCACATTGCTATACGAGTGAGTGTCCGAGTGTGCGAGTATGTTAGCATGCTTGTGTCATGTATGTATCCATGTGAGGTTTACTGTGTAGACAGCAGGTTACTGGGTTGGTGGTGGGTGGATTTTGTCTGTGCGTATGCAATGTGGATATTGGGGCTGCTGGAGCTGGTGGGGCATGTACACAATCCACAAGTACACATCTCCATCCTCCATCTGTCCATCGATCCGTTTATGTGACCCAGGTGTCCAGTCTCATTCTCTTGACGTTGGTCCCATCCTGTTCTTGAGGCTCTGCTGATGAGGGCCGCAGAAGGACCATGGTGGGCTGCTGGGCTCCGGCGCCGACCTGGTGGTGATAATCCAGACCCCCACCTCGACCCTGGGTGCCATCGTCTCGGTCGCTGCCTTCATATGAGCTGCCGTTGCTGCTGAGACTGTCAACAGGTGAGCGGCCTTGGCCTCCCGCTTCAAGACGCAGAGTACCAGGGTAGGCGATGGACACCAGACCTTGTCCCTGGAGTTGACTCTGGCCCACTCCAACTCCAGCCACCCCACTGGTGGAGCTGGGAGTGCTGCGGTCACGGTTTGGTGAGACGGGTTCGGACTTGATATTGACGTTGGGGTTTGTGTTGACTGTCAGCGCGGCACCCTGTACTCCCACTTGCCTGGAGAAATGACGGATAGAAGAAGAAAGAAAAGAACAAGAAGCATTATGTCAGTATGAAATTACACAACTACATGTATTATCCATCAAAAGTACATGAGAGCAGATCTTCATTAGACAAAAGTTTGCAGGGATGGAACACAGAGCTCAGCCAAAACTGTAAAAGAATGGTCGCTTTAAAATGAATGGATCAAAGAATTCAGTAAACATATGCTGGACTTGTAAAATGAAAAGCAGGATTTTCAAGCAAAAGGCACCCAGGTAACACTATACACTCGGAACACGAAGGCGTGTGTGGACTTAAGCACATGGAGAACAAAGACACAAAGAACAGATAAGGCTACATTTAAGGGCACATTAAAGCAAATTCAGTAAGCCATGCAGCTGAAACACTCGGATATTAGGTTTGATCCCATAAGGTCTACAGCTGAACATCATACTGGAGCATCAAAAAAGATACTCAAGTCATTATTCAGTGGATGCAAGTAGCTAAACAAGAACATCTGCATTTTGTATTTGCTCTGTTTTATATCTTTGTTTGTGATACAACAGCTATTAAAGGGCCTAAAGAACATGTTTCCTAAAATAAATGAAAGAATGACACATCACACATTTTGAAGGGTTTAAATATGATAAGAAATACGACAGAAATTAAATATATTTTAGTTGTCGTTTGCTAAAATTATGTTTATTAAAAAAAACTGGGAAAATCTGTTGCAGTGTAAAAATATAAAAATATTGGAATTGAAATGTTTTTACATGTCTATTTTAAAGTTATATTTTGTCTTTGCTGTACTTTGTATTTTATTCTTATGGGAAAATTTTAGGCACACCAAGGAGCAGTGCAAACCAAGACTACAATTAACACACAACCTGTAAGGCTTTTGGTTCAGGGGTTTTTTTTTTTTTTTTATTTTAAACACTATACTGTTATACTATCCTGTCATACTTGATCTGGTAAGGTTGCTTTCCTCCATGCCTGGGCCACTTCCACAGCTCTTTAATGAGCAAATCTCCCTTTGTGCTTGTGGATTTTTATCTCCATCTGTCCATTTTTTCTGCCAGGTGCGCCCCTGATTCCTTCTCAGAAAGCAGCTAACTTTTACTTTCCCTTGTACTCAAAAGAGCATCTTTTTCACAAGGTCACAAATTACACATCCTCCACTCTTCTATTCTGTTTTCGTGTGCAAGGTCATTGCCATGTTCGTTTTTAGCTGCATATGCCACAGAGCATCTTTCCCGGCCGATATGGTCCATGCTATGAGAGCGGCATCGGTATTATATTCAAATAGACAACTAAAGCAGCAGCGTGATCTTCCTTCCTTAATGGCTTTTTTTCATGCTGTCCATAATTTTTTTTAGCATTAAAACCAAAATTTCTCTTGTGCTGTTCGTTCCCCCCGGAACATTTTAACATTATGTCACATTTGATTTGACTTGATTATTATTAGTTTACAAATCTATCAGCAGTTCTCTTAAACCTCCAAGTAGCGCCAACCAAGAGCGTCACAGTAGAGTGTAAATTATGCTCTATTGTTATATATGATAAATTGTATTTACTTGGTGTTTTGTAAGTTAGATCAGCATAAAACGTATTTTCCAGATAAACAGAAAATATTTAGATTCACACGTGAAATGTTCACAGGTTTTCAAATGAACCAATCCACACCTAACTCCTTGACTGCGCTGCCCTAAGATCTTCAGGACAATTATATGCCAAAAAGCTTTCGTCTTTGTCACCATCTCTGCTTCTACCTGCCAAAACTCTTTGATCAGCACCACCTCACCCTCCTCCGCTGGCTGGAGGCTGAGTCGAACCTGTCACTGTGGCTGACACCGACTGTTGACGCTGTGGTGTGGCTCGCTCCTTTTAACGCAGTCGACATGATTTTTTGGATTGGGCTCGTTCTATCTTTCCCTCTCCTCCAGCTTGACATGGTGGATCTGAATTTGAAGCTCCCAATTACTGCGTTTCGCCCCTTGGGTGTGTTCTAATATGTCATATCATGAGCCATCTGCACCACTGTATCTCTAATATTCCCTCAATTACTGGCAGACTGAGAGGGGAATTTAAGATAGGACTCCTCCAGGCGATCTGGGTCCGTGGCACTCAAATGTGCTCGCTGTCTTCCTCTGTCTGACACACACTTAAAGTTGTGCACTCTTCCTGCCTTACATAAAAATGCTCCTTCCCTCCCGTACTGTCTTACAAACACACCTACACACACACCTACACACACACACAACGACACAAATCCCTTGGTAGGACGATGCTCACGCCGTCTCTCTCGTACCCACTTCATCAAACCTGCGTGTCGTGGCTCGGGACGGTACAGGTAGATGGATGATGGTGCCACAGGGGTGCCGTTGCTATGGCGAGTGAAAACGGCTGAGTCAACAGTCCAGTGACAGTGATGAAGGCGAGAGCGGCAGGCTACCCCCGAGCACTAACAACATGGTGAGCACAGCCAGAAGCAGACACTTGGTTACAGTGCGGTTTGTTGAGCTGCAGCCGTGTTTCCCAAAATGCTCTGCTTTTCTCAGGATGAGAATTGGGAAGAGAAAAAAAAAAAGTTCATCTTTTCAAGAATTTTAACTCCAATCAGACTGTTGACCTGTGCACTATCAATGAAATACTAGTCTATTAATACTGCTGATCTTTTTAAGGGGTGTTACAGATCAAGATCAGTTTACTAATCACGAGTAGGCCTACTCATCAGCTCAGCAGGAGCTTTTTCAGGACTGAGAAATTAGCCCTGGTGATGTAACAGTGATGCTATCAGTATTACTTTGGCTTAACAGAAACATTTTACAAACTGAAGTACAGAATGAAGGAATAAACAGGTACTGGCGTAGCTGACTTCTTGACTATTACTTTTGAGTTCAGCTTTCTAAATGGTGTTCTGCTGAGGATGTCCATTACTGAATCTTAGCTCCTCAGTTAGTAATTGCAAGCAGTTCCTTTGTCAGATTAGTTTAGTTGAACCATCTTGGTGGTACATTAAAAACAAAGGAAATATTATCTGCTTGACGCCATGATACTTTTGTTTCTTTCTTACTACTAACCACTGCTGTTTTGGAGTTAAAGTACCAAAAGGTTCCTTTGTGAAGCAGATATTTTGGGAAAGCGGCATGCTGCAGCTGTGTGGCTTAAGTGTAAAGAGTACTATACCAGCAGAGGCCCTCCTCCCTACCAAAGAGCAAGTTGGGCTGAGAAGCCAAGCTGTGGAGGGAGGTGGAAAAAGAGACAAGCAAGTTTTAAAAAGCTAAAACAGCAGGGAGACAGTGGGACGGAGACCAGTCATGGTCAATCCAGACACGCTTACGACAAAAAACAAAGGGCCTTAACAGCTGCTTCGGTCAGGCTGGGATGTTGTTAGAGGCAGAGTCGTGAAAAGCAAGAAGTGCTTAAGCCTGTGCTGAGAAAATGTGATCCACATGCAAAGCACTTTTACAGACACTTTCAGTAAAACTGAAATGGTTGAGTTTCCTAAAATGGGATCAGGCAAATTGGCAATCTGTAGTACAAACTCTCCTTAAAGGAATATACCACTAATTTTCTGTGTAGTTTGCAGAGACCTTTATACTTAAAGTCATTTTTGAAATTCTATTCTTCTTTAACTTTCTTTTGCCTCTGCGTCAGTTGTGAAATTGTAATAAATTCATGCTAATTAGTCTGTTTATTAAAGTCTGCTTATTAAAGTTGAGTTCACGTGGTGCCAAAAATCAGCTTGCTGTTGCTAAATAAAGATTTCTGAGCCCCATAAAGTAATTCTGCAATTTAACAATCTAACATGTGACCATCTTATATAAATGTAATGGATAAATAAACAAATTACCCACATGGCACACACTTAATAGAAATAAAATTGTATTTTTATTGTACAGGTAGAGGGATGTAAAATGAATCCCCCGTGGTTTCTAATCTAGGGTTTGAGAAAATACTGATTCCCACCAGGAGGTTTAACTGCTCATACTCTGACAGCATGTACACACCATGCCCTGCCAACAAACAGTGTGTCCTCTCAGCAATTTATCAGAGTGTGCACCGTCTCCAAAAGTTCTTCCTTTTTTTCAGTTTGTGTTTACGAGTTAGGAAACAAGTATAACGAAAAAGAAAAGCTGGGCACAAAAAAAAAAAAAAAAAAGAGTTGGAAACCAATAATTTTTTTTAAGCTCCGTACTGATTGATTAGTAGCTATGTACATTAAAACATCACTTGTGTACTAGCAAACAGCCACCCCTGAAAGTGGGTCTGTTTGTTTCCTGTGAATGTCCCAAACGGAGGCTGTGTCTGCTGATAACACATCGACTCAGTGAGGAAACAAACCATGGCGACATGTCCTGCAAAACCAGTATGCAGAGACCACTTCTCCATAAACACAGACAAGCTGAATGCAAGGCTGCGCAGCGAGGGGATTTAGGGGCAGCCGTGACATTAACATTTAGATTAGGAAGTCAGGTCGAAGATGAGAGTCAACAGGTGTACACCAAATTAACTGAGCCTGACCAGGAAAGCAGGAAATAAGCAGAATGACAGAACTAGTGGAAGAAGGGATGATTAAAACGAGGGAAATGGAGAGAGTAAGTTGACAGGAATCATTTCCTTGTGAAGCCTGTGGTGAGGAAAAGTGTGGCCGACAGCGAAGGCGAGGCTCGCAGCCAAGCTGTCAATCACCATTTGATTGGAGGAGCTTGTTTGCTCGCTGTGAGGCTGCGGTGTGATGAAATCAGAAACAAAGCAGAGCAGTCTGGACTGCAGAAGAGCCCACGTCTGCTCATGCTGTCCTTAGGAAGGCACGATTTTCCGTTTTGCCGAGAGAACAGTTTGGCAAGCTGGGAAAGCATCCCACATTTTCTGTGGTGCTTGCTTGTTTTCAGTGGCAATGATTCTGTTATTCTGATCCCACACACAACACTGTAAATCCGCCTGGTGTCATTTCCAGTGTCACACCTGAGGTTGCTGAAACTCTGCCACAGTCAGCATCTGGGCGGCATGATTATGCAGAAAATGGGAGATCCTGCTTTTTCGTATTTTTCGTATTTTGAGGAATGTCTTGGTTATTTTATTATGAAAGAAATCCTTTGTTAGAGTAGCTCAAAAAGCGATGAAACATGGCGATCAAACAATTAAGGAATAGAGCAAAGCAAAAACGCCAACTTTCCGCAGTTCCATGAGCTCAAACGTAAAACTTCCTGCTCCTTCTGTTTCTTTTCTTTTTGCAAATACTTGAACATACTTGAACTTTGAGCTTTTATCTTCCTACAAAATTCCTGAAAATCATTAGTATGTTAAGAATATTTTTGATATGAAAAATGCTCCATATTGCTGTCGGTATAAGAAACAGTTGTTGTATTATTACAGCCAACGCTCAAGGAAATCACTGCTGGCTGCTTTTTCAGGATCTCCGAGTGGTTCAATTGATTTGTTTGCAGAAGGATTTCATACAATCTGGACTGCCATTTGTTAACATTTACAAGGCGATATGAAGAGTTCTGCTGCATATGAGCTGGTGGTGACTGTTAACTATATGCTGCTTTTTCAAAGATGCTCAACCCCCTGGAGTCACAGCTGTTGTATACACTAACAAACAACCCATTATCATATTTTCCTGGATGATTTTCAGCTTGTCAGACAGAGGAACAAATAACAATCTCTTTCCTGACAGCTAGAATTATTCTAAGTGTCTTTAAAAAAAACCAAAAAAACAACAAAAAACACATTTCTCTTATTTGTTTTATTTTGAATCTGTTTTGTGATCAAGATTCGAAGCCAATGTTTAATTGAGATACATACATTTTGAACAAGAGGATAGCAGCACTTTAACGCCCTTGTCTGTGCGTATACGAGTATTTTACAGGGAATTAAATATCAACTGGAAATAAACACGTCTTTTTTTTTTTTTTTTTTAAGAAATAGCTGCACTTGACAGTGATTCTATACCGTCGAGCTCAAAATTATTCTTTTAGTCCCACTAGTGTAGGAAATTCAGACCAACGTGTACCTGAGCAGTTCAATCTTCTGTCTGACTGTCAGCTGAGAGTGACAGCTAAATGGCTGAAAAGTAAAATTTTAATGCACTAACAATGCTGGTGGCGCAGAGCTGTGCGCTGGTTATGTGTTAGGAATTGAAAGCAGCACCCAGAGACTACTTCCATTCAAGAACATAGCAAGGTGCTGCTGCTGTCACACTGAAGCTTCTTCCTCTTTGTTGATGACACTTCCAAAGAGCTTCAGATCTAAGCTTTAGGTGGCATAAAAACTCCTAGAACCAGACTAGTCAAATGATAATCTGAGAGGGAAAAAAAGGTGCTTTTGCCTCAGCAGAAGTGAACGAGCGGTGATACACGGAGAGAGCAAAGCAACAGGCATCACATCAAACATACAAATGGAAAGAGAAGACTGGCTGATATTGTGTTTGTCATGTAATTGCATCAATTTTGTATTTCTTTTGGTTATTTTGGTCACAAACTGTCAAGTTATTATAGACTCATAATTCACTGTGGGAGTATAATAATTTGACAGATAAACAGTGTGGCAGAGCACCAGATGCTATCATGTCATTCACCTCAGGTTAGCAGCAAAATTGGAGATGCAGTTAACCATCTCCGCATTCTGTTTCTCTGCACCCCACATGCTGTGGAGAAAAAGGGGGGGAGGGAGGACAAAACAAGAGGCAGTTACAAGCTGCTCCCCCACCCACACATTAACCTAGCAAACCCAGAATGGTCACATAAAGACTTAGTTGTACCAACTTAATTTGTAAAGTAGAAATGCAGTTGATTAGACTCAGGTAAAGGTCACATCAGTTCTGCAAGTGTAAAAATAATATCGTGACATTTCACTTTTTAAATCGCTTTCATGGTCTTGCAAAGCACCAACAAAGGGAAGATAGGTAAAAAAATAAAAAATAAAAAAAAAAGCTAACCTCGGTTAGAAGGACTTACAAAGAATGTCTCAATAATAAAGAAACATACTCCCAAACACAAACACTGAACTCAAAGAACGGACCCACCTTTGTAGCTGTGTTTGCAAAAGTAAGTTAGTTGTTTTAAACCTAAGAAACTTTTTAAGGAGCTGTTTTTCTTCATCAGTTGTCTGCTTCCTGTACTGCACTGAGCTGTGAAAAAAAAACTGTTTACAAAGTAGCTTTTGAGTGCTGTATAATCAGTTAAAATATGATGGCTTGATTCAGCTACTAATGGTGTGTGTCTGCTCTGTAATGACCTCGCTTGTTTGGAATTTATAAGTTCGTCTGACTCGTTATAGATCTGGTCATCTGAAGGAGATAAGAACGTCCTTAGAGCACAATTTAACCATGCAATGCAAATCGAGCCTAGTGTGTCTGTTAATACGCACCAACATACACATTATTTTTGTTTTGTTTTTTTCAAAGGCAGTCTGTGGTTTCACAGATGCATTAGAAGTATCCATCACCGGATAGCCATCAAGACACCAAGAACAATGGGACTACTAAAGTAAGAAGACGGACCATCATTCTAGTGATGATTCCACGCTTTTTTTGCTTTACAGCAAAGCAAAATATAAGGTCTGAGGGCACTCAGACCAGCTGCAGGGATTTATTTTTTAATTACAAATTAGCTCAAATTCTTCAGGGTAAACTTTGTTCTAAGAGTAACCTATTAGCTGGAAAATTAGGAAGACTTGAAAAATGGGAACGTCCAAGAGTGAGTCCACCTTTAAAGTTTTAAATCTAGAGTGCCACATAATGCAGCTAGAAGCAAAGCCTTGCAACCAGAAGCTAAAGACTGGGACCGCAGTGGGAGGTGGAGCTGAGCAGGGGGAAGTATCTAGGTCACCACGAAGATGAATAAATCGCAGCTTGGGTGATGTTACAGCTTTGTATACGACCATGTGCTATGGTTTGTGTAATGGATCATGTGACATGTGTGGCTCTTGTAAAAGTTTTACTGCTCAGGTATTTCAAGGAGAAGGTTAAAGGTTGTAAGATTAATGGATTCATCTCATTAACGGTGTTTTATAGTAAGAAAAGGGAGCTTACACCAAGTTGCTGAGTGATGCCAAGCTCAGTTGCTGTTGCTGCTGTTGCTGCTGCTGAGAGACTGCTGGTTGCTGTTGCTGTTGCTGTTGCCAAGCAGCCATGTTGCCAGGCACCAGCCCCGGTGGCGTGAACGTCTGGAGCGCTGTGAGATCTGCGCTCGTCAGCTGGTACTCTGAGATTAAGGGATGGAGGGGGAGACGCAGAGGGAGAAAGGGAGAGAGAGGAGACGGAGAGGAGGGGTGAGGGGGATTGTTTTACATCATACAACTTTCGGGTGCATCAATATTAATCAGCGCTAATCCATATTAATGGAGACCTTTGAAGTAGAATCACTCCAGAAGCTCTCACACAATGAACAAAGTGAATATTCATAGTGGTTTGTGGCATCACACTACAAGACTTCCAAGTTTTGCTGCCTTCCACAACTCACCAGTGTTGTAGGCCGTCTGCATGCCGGAGAAGGGCGCTAGGAGACTGGGTGTTGCCACGGAGACCACTGGTGTGGTGAGTGGCTGTGCCACCTGGGAGCCGCCTAGTCGTTGAGCATTCTGGGAACACAGAGAGATGGACAGAGGAAGCTGAACATTGGGGCATGTGAAGTAGAAGAAGTGATTCTAAAAACAAAGTCTGCATTGAGCTACTGACAAGTAGCAAGTTGATTTTCATATGCAACATTTCCTCTTGGTATAAACATCTGCAAGTCTCTCTCTGCACAGTGTAGTTAATCCATGCTAAAACACTTGCACTGTTAAATTCACAACCAAATCCTTCTGATGTTTTTCATGTTGAGGAATCTCTGATAAGACACGCAGTATTTGAAAGAGAGGGTTTGGTTATAAATCTCAGATGGATGTTTTAGCCAGAATGGTTTCATAGATCCAGTGTTGCGGCTCCATGTCGTGAGAAAACCTGGTCTGGATCCACAACAAATCATCTCTTTTTCTCCTTATATGGACTGAGTGTAGAGGTTCACGGCACATGACTTCATCCATTTTCAACAGCAATAATGATAATGGTTAGCATGTGCTTTTCACTGTACAGCAGAGTGGAAGCAGAGACTGTAATGTACCCAAGGTCAGCTACTACTTAAATAATTTTACTAAAACCACAGCTTGCTCTACTTCTATTTCAAATAAAAACAGACACATTATCTCCTGCATTCTACTCTGTGCTTTACAAAGTACAAGTGCAGCAACTCTAATTAACTTCCAGCTCTGAGTTTTACTGACACTTTAGAGGTTTTATTAAGAGATAGAAGCAAAGAAAACCTAATAACTAAAATCTAATATAATAAACATTTAGTTGATTTCACTTGCGCCTGTGCAGGGCATTGGAAGATTCATTATTCACCATGCCACAGCCAGAAGCATATCCGCTTCCAGCAAGAAAATCCAAGCACCTCAGTTCTCTCTGAGGTGTTTTAACTTTTCTGTGACACTTTAACATCGGCGTGCAAGATGAGAAATGTCTCGCATCTCAAGGTGGCGTTGGCACAGCAATGCTGTCGCCAGGGCCGGGTGCTTGTGTTATGTAGCATCACGGTGGAAGGTGTTATGAGAGGCATCGCTGTGCCGGAGAATCATGCTGACAGGAACGCATGCATCGACAAGGCTGACAGAAGAGAGACGAGAGGGGCTGAATGTGTGTAAGGACGTGTTTTTATTTAGTGCGTGCATGTGTGTGTGTGTGTGTACAGAAAGGAATGCAAGGCATGAATAAACAATGTGAGGTGTGCGTTTGCTCTGAGGGGTGGGTATTGGTATATTTATGCAAGGAAACACCCGTGAACCTGTCAACATGCATGTGTGTGTGCGTGTGTGTGTGTGTGTATGTGGACTGAAGAGGTCAGCGTATCTGAGTCTAACACGTCCATCTGTGTTCCAGGTTGGAGACTTTGTGAGCTTTCCTCACTCTCATCCTCAGAGCATCGACACTCGGATGAAACCAAACATGCACATGCTGAGCAGCTTTCACACACAGCAGAGAGTCAGGTGGTTGCTCCGGTTCCCTTGATGTTTTCTCTCTACAGTCTATTTGTGCTTCACAAATGTCACTTTAGGCTAGGCTCAACTGTCCCTTAAATATACACATTTTAAAATTCAATTTGCTTTCAGGTTTTCCTTCGCAATAATTCGCAATAATACTCCATCAATAACAAAAACTGGAAATCGTGAAAATGCAAGTGCTAAAAGACCAAGACTGTTTTCAATATATTTCAATTCAAAGGATAAAAAGCACAGTCTTTGTAAAAGAAAATACCTGGTCTCAAATGTTTTGGTAATATTTTACAAAGAGTACTGAGATTTAACCCTTTAAAGAATGAACCATGAAAAAACTGTCATGAAATTGTAAATTTTTTTATAAAGAGTGATTATTGAACCTTCAGCCAAATCAAAAAAATATAATAAATAAATAAATAAATATATTAAAATGCATTATTTATTTACATTTTTATTATAGTTGCTATATCTGGCATTTTCTCCACACAATCTATTGCTTAATCGATTGCTTTTCTTCTATACTATATATAAACTTTTTAAAAAATTATATCAAACACTAAGTTCTAAGTTCATTTTAGGTTATGTTTCCCAGACTCTTACGACCTTTGGTAAATACACATTAATTTGCAGTCTTGCAGAGAGTTGTTTAAGGAGACGGACAACCTGTCATGTTTTTATGAATCTTATTTTAGCTAAGAAATATTAAAAAACCCTCCTGTTAAAAGAAGATTTACACTTTTATGATTTGTGCACAGATTAAACATACACGATAAATTCTATAACACAGCTTTAGGGATGTTTATCACTAGTGTGCAGCTAAGCTTAGCTGATACCACCTGTTTCCAGTCTTAATGCCAACCTAAATGGAAGCTTCATATCACATCTTAGAAAGCAATACAGAGATTATCATTAAGCAGCTTTTGGATGTAACTTTATATTTACATAGCATCACATAGAAATGTTATCCATCTTTTCATCTGACTCTGAAAGAAAGCGTTTTTTTTGTTTTTTGTTTTTGTTTCCCCACTGGTCAAACTCTGCCTCGTGATAAGCTTGTAGCTAATAAAGTCTAAAGACGTTTAAAATAATTAAACAGTGCCTTTTAAAACTTTATGTTCTGCATAATTGAGAGCACATCTCATGAAAAGCTTTTCAGTCTAGTCGTATTGTAGCCATCAATATGCATTTAGTTCTCCGTTTAAGAAAATGATGTCTGTCAAATAAATGGAATATTAAAGTCCTTTCAGTCCTTGGGCCTAATGAATTAAGCATGCAAGGTATGTGGTTATGCAGAGCCTGCCTTTCTTGTATTGTGTATTGTTCCGAGACTTTCCCTGACAAACTTGAAGTTCAAGTCAAGTCTTGTAGGATTGAAACATCACAAGTTCAAGTCTTTTCATGACTTTAATCAAGCCATAAACTCTGTTGGCATTTACAAATCTTGTGGTGAAGCTTGTAGTGAAGCATAACCCTTACAGTCAAACTCATCCAGGAAAAGAAGCAAACAGATGATTTCTCCACCGTCTGTGTGTAGCTCTGATGCTCCAGTGGCTTTACGCCTACTCTTCTCATAACACCAGTGCCACTGATTCAACCCTGAAGTGATGCGTTTGCTGACCGTGTCACACTCATGCTCGGTGAGATCACACACCACATCCATGAGCCTAAAACTCTAAAAGTCTATTCACCTCACTCACCAACTCCAGCTCTTCCTCAGTCTGCACGGCCGGTGGAAGAGGGGAGAGTAAAAAACAAAGGGCTGTTAAGTTTCTATAAAATCTAACTGGTGTAGAGATATGAACATGTTATGGTTACTTTGAGAATAATTATAGAGATGCATATCATGGTAATAAGATACTGAAAAGTGAAGGAGAAAGACTGGATCCAGAAGTCTGCCTTGTTAGAGACTGTACACCATGTATGGATGGACATTGTTGCTTTATTGTGTTTACAGATTTCTGGCTGTAGTAATAGAAATTATGTAATAGTGAGAAAGTTAGAACCATATTTAGAGAAGGAGAGCAGACATTATTATATTTTAAATTACATAAATTATTTCACTTTCTGGCCATTAAAAGGCACAGTGGCCACAGCAAAAAAGGAATCTGTGAACATGTCACACATGTGAGAACCACGTGAAACATTTTTATTTTCATCTTCTAAGCCTCTCAGTTATTCCAGACTACTGCCGAGTCCATCACCTGCACAATCTTCTTGTAGACTATTTTCTTCAGCCTGATGAATGTGGACAGGTTGTTCGCATCGCTGGAATAATTAATAACCAGAGTTTTCATATAAAGTAACTCCTCATCTTTATAGTTAGATTTAGAACAAAGGAATCTAAGGGTAAAGTGTTTTAAACACTTCTAATTCCTGCTGTCAGAACTCAGAAATGTTCAAAGTTGGGTTGTGTCAGTTGTCGTTTTTAAGTGACCCAAATAATTATTACTTCAGCTGCCAATGGCGAGTCCCCGCAAAGTTGTGCAGCAGCAGAAATAAAGATGAAATGGTTTGGCAGTTTCACTGCATGACTCAAACTGGAAGTGGCTAAAGAGAAGTAGCAGTCGTGGAAATATGTTTTCATGATATGACACATACTGCTGGAGGCAGACAGGAGGTCCTCCTGGACAGTGACTTGCACAAAGATCCTGACAAAAATCTCCCACTGTAGCATTTATGTCATTTTTGTAATACATTTAAAATCTAGATTCATCAAGTTGCTCATTCAACATTGTGGAGGTTTGGACTATCAATGCAAACTGAATAGGATAGAAAATATGAATGGTTCACCCACGAGGCAGGCCCCTATTGTATATATTATAGGCTTCATCAAAAGGCACCGTAACAAAAAGAAAGGAAAGATTACTGATACTCATCATTGAGAGACTGGCTGTATTACACTTGAGAGATTAAAACACCTGAAGCCTTCATCGCATAATTTTGACTAATTCTGAACTGAAGTGCTGCTTCCACTCATGATCTCCTTACCAGCTGCATGAGGCTCTTGCCACTCTGTGAGGTGATGACCCTCAGGTCCGGCTTACGGCTGTTGACCATCTGAGGGCTGGGTGGAGGTGGAGACTTAGCCGGGACTACTTTCCCCAGGCTGTTGCCATTGGATACAGAGAGGAGGCCTGGGGAGGCCCTGGCACTGATGTAGCCATTAGCTGGAGAGAAACAAATAAAGAAAGTGAGGTTCAGTGCAGAGGAAGTGTAGAAGAAGGTTGTGTGTTTGTCTGTTTTGATGCTTTTTATGTTTCTACCTGTGAACTAGTGACTTTTTGTGCTTGTCTGCCTGGATGTGTATATTCAGCTCTGCATGCGTGTGTGAGAGAGCTCTCATTAGTGAGTTGATCGCTCTGTCGCACCACATGCTCATCATTGTTTCTGTACCTCAAACAGCTTTTTTCTTTGCAAGATGATTCTCTGCAGCTTCTTCACATCAAAACCATGTCATGATCTCTCCAGATCTATGTTATTTCTTTATTTCCATGTTCACACTCACTCTCTACACATTTCCTCTTTTACTTTTACGTGTCTTGGCACTTGGTTAAAAGAAAAACATGCAAATCTTTCTGGACACCTGCCATCTGTGAAACACTGTGAAAAACCCCCACTTCCTTAGAAACTTAGCTTTCATTGCCACTGAATTATTGCTAAATTGGTCTCTATGACACAGTCAAAAATCTTCCATGCAGTTTAACGATTACACTGTACTTTCAATACTGTGACTGCATATAATGTACATGTGTAAAACCATTATATTGTATTTACACACATGTAAATTATTACTTGTAGCAATACATGATATTATAAACTGTTTTTTGAGAAAAATAAAATAAAAATGTTTCTTTTATATAAACTAAGGTCCATAAGGTTTTGGAAAATAACAGTTTTTGTCATTTTTCTTCTGTACACCACCACAGTGAATACTCTGAAAATCAGATGAAGGGACAAGGCAATGTATACAAATGCATTTAATGTCCTTACAATTCATGCAGTAGCTTTTTAAAAAACATCTTTTTTGCATCTCATTCACCAAAATTGGAAAAAATGATCATTACAAAAATATTTACAGACCTAACTATTAGGGGTGCAACGATATTCGTATCGATATTGAACCGTTCGATACAGTGCTTTCGGTTCGGTACGCATATGTATCGAACAATACAACATTTGTAATTTATTTTATCAATTTTCCTTCTGACGATGCTGTCTGTGTTGAGCGCTCAGTGAATCTGTGTTCGACTACTCCGCCTAGGCTGCACTGTCGAGCGCAGATCCACTGAGCACTCAACACAGACAGCATAATCAGAAGGAAGAGCGCAGGGCAAGCTAGCGAGACAGAAGTTAAGCTCTCCTTGCAACAGGCAAATTGAACCTCATTCAGATCTGGCGTTTGGAATTATTTTGGTTTTCATGTGACGTATGACCCTGAAGGTAAGCGAGTCATGGACTAAAGTAAAACAGTATGTTGAATGTGCCATGCAATGCTCAATTACATTGGTGTGAACTAGTGTGTTAGCGCAGTTAGCTCGTTAACGTGTTGGCCGTCTAGCCCCATGCACGGAGTGATCGGCGGTAGCTCGTTAACGGAGATTTGCCGTGTTGTGGCGTTAAGGTAATTTCAACGAGATTAACCTGAAAGCACTAGCGGGAACACAACGAATATGACTGCACATTTACGCCGACATCATCGTAGTGCAAAGACAAGTGGAAGCAGACAAAAAAAAGCAAGCATGCTACTAACTTTAGCCGAGTCATTTAGACAGCTGTTAGCACATGATTCTCCTTATGCTGCTGAGAATATAGCCCAGAAGAAGCGGATAGTATAGCTCTTATTTTGGAAAGAGCCATTTCTCTGTAATAAACTCTTTTCCAAAGATGAGTGATTCCTCAATCAGATACAGGGCTCGCAATATCGCTAGCCCGACGTCCCGGAGCTAGCGATTTTTTCAGTCGGGCTACCAAAATCTATCTCTTCCCTGCCCGTCGGGCTATTGTAGGAAAAATATATGTCAATGCTTTTGCATTCTTTCGGAAATGTAGCTGGGTAATTATGTCATTGGCATCGGTGAGCCACTGTCAATATGTGACATATTGAAGTCGCGTTTGAATTTGCGCTTGTTTTTTTGCTTTCACTTTGCAATCGTGCGAACTGTGTATAGAGAGCGACAGCACTGATCTGTGAGTGATGATAATTTGTGCACCAATTCCTCTGACATCGTCTTATTAATCGTTAGCTTACTATGCAAACATGACAAGTGAAATCTCCCGCAGCAAGCTTAAACATTTGAGAGGTTGATCGTGCAGAGAATCGCTGAGCTTATGTGAGTGAGTGTGTAAAAGCATTTCAGTTCTGCTGAGCCAAATAAGACAGGTCAGGGTGAAGAAGTGACAGCCAAAGAAAAGCTTACCACAAAACGGAGAAGTTATGACAAATCAGACTATGAGGCAAAAAGAAAGTGCAGCTTTATGGTTTCATGGACAAAAGAATTTCTGTGGCTGCAATATGATGAGCTAAATAACCAGGGCTGCACATAAGTGGTCCGCAGGTGCGCATTCGCTGTCAAAATAAAAAACACGCACAAGGGTTAGGGTTAAATTCAAAAACTGTACTTTTGAGTTAAAATATATATTTATAATTTTAATAAATGACAAATTAAAAATGCATGAACATTTTTTTGTATCGAAAAAATATCGAACCGTGACACCAAAGTATCGAACCGAACCGTGAATTTTGTGTATCGTTGCACCCCTACTAACTATGTGTAAATTGATCTAAGGGACTTTATATATAATATTTAACTTCATCTCTTAAGGCTTTCCTTCCAAATCATTTATTAAAATGAACAGATGTCAATTTGCCAAAAAATTAAGAATTATCCAATACACAAGATGCTTAAAAGAGTGCATATTAAGAAATTAAACCTGTTCTGATCTCACATGGAAGTCTGGTAATGTTTGTTTTGTGTTTTAGTTAATGAGAAATGTATGAAAAGTCAAAGATAATTTTTTAAGGCCATCTAGTCCAGATGAGTAGCTCACTGATAAGTTTTTAATAATTTCAACAGTGGAGCTTTACAAGGTCTTAAATATGCACAATACATTTAATTACGTTTAAGGTTAAATGAACTGGTTTTAGTCTTTTCATGAGGCTTGTTGACAGTATTCAAAGATAAAATAACTTCTGGTTTGCAGTGTAAAAGTTCTCTCCCCCTTGTTCTTTTGATCTTTAACGTCGATCAGGGCATTCCAGTAACATGTCTGGCCACATTACAGCATGCTACACCTGTTGAACGCACCCTCCTTTGAAATGGCACAACTGCCACATTCCAAGCCTGAACACTGCCACACAACAGTTACTCTAAGAAACAAAGCCTGATTCGTGACGTGCTTCTGTCACAGAAAAACACTGCACGATACAATGCTGCTTCCTCTCCCATATTTACGTTCTTTTCTATTAGTAGGTTGTGTAGTGTATTTAAGATGGGTGTCGTTGGGGTTTTTTTGTCTACTGTGTTTACCTTTGTTGCCTATTCATGTTAAATCAAGTTTAAAAAATTAAAACGAACGATGGATTTGGTGGTGATGTGGAAGATGGAGGATATCTGCTTGTCATAACAACAAGGCTCCAGCAGACAGCAGCCTGTTCGAGGCTAAAAGACAAGTAGGCTCAAACAGAGACTCAGTCACAGAGTATATAAAAAGGGGGACAGCAGGGACTTTCCCAGCCCTAACACACACACACACACACACACACACACACACACACACACACACACACACACACACACACACACACACACACACACACACACACACACACACACACACACACACACACAGAGAGTATTCCCCTTGGACAGACAAGGGATATGTGTGATAGCAGTTCTCCATGACGCTGCCTCCAGACACAGTGGCATGTGACTCTGCTTCATCTCAGTCTCACACACACACCTCCCATAAACGAAACCTCACAACAACAACTAGAAGCGAACACTACCTCTGTTATCAGCTCAGCGGGAGGGAGACCGGGCAGAGAGGGAGGAAAGAGGAAAAGCACAATAGGAGCAAAGGAAGGAGTAATAGAGGGATAAATGGTGGAAAAGGGAAGGAGGCTTGAGAAGTTAAGGCAAAGCTTCTTAATGTGAACCACCTTTAGACATCATGTGAGACAAAGAGACAAAGAGCTTTATAAAAAAAACAAAACAAAAGAAAGATATGAAGATGAAAAGTAGACCCTGACAAATAGATTTTAAAAAGAGTAAAATATGATTAAATATAACCTAAATAGGATTAGATGAACATTATGAAAGAAAATAAAGTTACAACACAGCTATAGTGCAGTACATGATAAGACCAAATTTACCCAAATTAAATTTAATCAGAGGCAGAGGCAAATAGAAAAATCCTCAGACTTGATTGAGCTGCCGTAGACTTGAACTTATCTGAGACTTTGTTGAAAATATATGAAGGAAAAAAACCCTGAATGAATGCTGAGTCTTCATGTTTAGTTTTGACTCTGGGGATATTAAGCAGACCTGTTCTTGTCCTAGAAGATTTGACAGGTCTGGATAGTTCCTGACAGAGCAGTATCAGATTTGTTCTTTGGCCCTAAAACATGATATAGACAAAGAAAGAAAGCTGGAAACAAAAAGAGATAAAGCAGAGCTTAAATAATTGCACTGTATAGTATTACCATATAGTTTATGTTATTTCCTCCAAGTAGGAAAACAAAACAAATCTTCAATAACCCCTCAAAGAAAAGAAAATGATCATTACAAGAAAAAAAAACAAAAAACAAAAAAAAACTATTAGCCTTTAAACTGAATTTCAAGTGTGAAGAAGGAAGGCAAGAAATGATAGAAAAAAGGAGAATTAAGAAATTACTCAGAACTGTGGGAGGGAAAAGAGAAAGGAGAGAAGGAGGAACCAGTATGGTCAGGAACAAAGGAGACAGGGAACAACCAAAGAGTAAGGTATATGGAAAAAATCATTAGGAGGGAAGGAGAGACAGGACAGAGAAGGTACTGGAAGGACATGTGAATGCTGGGAGGAAAAAAAGATGTTGCAGAATGCAGCAAGGTAGAAACAGATGGAATGAGACAAGCCAGGAAGATAACAGTAGAGGATGTCAGAAGAAGGTACTGTAAGTCAAAAGACA